CAAGAGATGCGCTGTACAGACAGGTTATGGCTGTGAGGCAAACAGGTATATATACCAGCTAGTCTGTGGAATGAGATCTGCCAGTTGGCTCATGACCATCCAAGTGCAAGACACTTTGGTCAGGCCAAGACCTTGGACTTGGTCCAGAGGCATTACTGGTGGCCAGGAATGCGACGAGAAATACATCTATATGTTGATACTTGCCTGGTTTGTCAACAGGCTAAGTACTCTCGTCAGAAGACCCCAGGCTTGTTACAGCCTCTGGGCATTCCTGAGGAGCCTTGGACTGAATTGTTCATGGACTTCATTACACAACTGCCGAAAACTAAGGGAGGTCATGATGCTATCGTCGTGTTCGTCGATAGACTGACCAAAATGGTCCGCTTCGCAGCCACGACCACTGAGCTCTCCGCAGAAGGAGCAACTGACCTGTTGGTGCAAAATGTGATAAGGCACCATGGTCTCCCCTCTCAAATAGTGTCCGACAGAGACGTTCGGTTCACTTCCAGGTTTTACCGGTACCTGGCCGAGAGGTGGAAGATTCAGCTCAACATGAGCACTGCGTACCATCCACAAATGGATGGCCAGACCGAAGTCATGAATCGGATTCTGGAGGATTACTTACACAGCTATATGCGTTCTGACCATGATGTGTGGGATGAACTATTAGCCATGGCCGAGTTTGCAATGAACAACTCGAAAAACAGTTCCACTCAAGAGACCCCGTTCTACTTGAACTACGGTCGACACCCAAAGAGTCCCTTAGCTCTTGGGGTGCAGATTCGGAAGCCTTTGAAGGGCTATGATAATCTGAATGCCCGTGGCTTGGCAGTGGCCATTGATAGGGCGCAACAGCCCTACTTAAGGCATACTGGTACACCCCTTGTGGAGGGCCTATCAGCTGTGACACGATTTGATCACCGTGTCCAATCAGCGCTGAAAGAGGCCAGGGCGTGCTTAGAAAAAGCACAGGATAGGCAGTCAAAGCATGCGGACCGCCATCGGAGGGACGTGTCGTTTAATAAAGGAGATGACGTCCTCCTTTCGACACAACATATCACCCTCAAACACCCTGGAACTCGAAAATTACTACCGAGGTGGATTGGGCCCTTCACCATCCTCGACCGGATAGGTCCTGTCGCATATCGACTGGAACTTCCGGAAAGCATGCATAAGATACATCCGGTATTCCATGTATCAAAGATTAAGCCGTATAAGGCTAGTGGCAGAGTACAGCCACCTCCAGTCCCTATTGAAATCGAAGGAGAACTGGAATATGAAGTTGAACATATTTTAGACAAAAGAATTAAAAAGCGCGGAAGGCGCCAAAACTCGGTAGAGTACCTTGTCAAATGGCTGGGATATGGACATGAGCATAATAGCTGGGAATCAGCAAAAGTAGTTGCCAATGCACAGGAATTGGTTCAAGCATTTGAAAATGGAAGAACTCCTGTCGTGCATGTATCAACTGATAGAAGTACGAAACGTACACGGTGAAATAAGCTCATGTGTGGTTATGCCTTTGACAGGTCTTGCTCAAATGGGCACAGAAGCAAACCGGTTATACCGGACCCCGTACAAGAACGCTGTTTGGATACATGAATGCGATGTCCGCAGCTATTTTGAACGGGGAACGCCTGGCCACCGACCAGCCATTGATCCAACCCCCTCGTGAGCCCATCCGTGGACGTGGGTGAGGACGAGGTACTTCGCAGCCTCGGGGAGGACATAGCTGGGCATATGGTGGCAACAAGTATCCGGGTTGGGGTCGAGGACGTGCAGGTTAGCCTGCATGTTCCATGTGTTTCCCTTGGATGGACATAGGCCGGAAGGTCAGAACATTGTAGCCGAAGTGCTGAACGAAGAGTTTTAATGAGGGTTGTCAAAGGCCGACAGGTCATGTAAAACAACCACTCTTTCTCTTCACCATAGTTTGTATATTGTATGTAAGCTTATTGTGCAAACTGGGCATGTGGCAAATCTCACAGCCAGTTGCCGCATACATACATAATGTTTCTACTCCCGTATCCATACATTGGGACGAGGACGCCCCTCTCCCTGAGGGGGACGAATGTTACGCGCACCGGCCTGATGTGGGGGACGCCCTACTAATGGCCCTTGGTGTGGGGGACGCCCTGCCCAAGATAACTATCCTCAACCCATGGTAACCATTATAGGTATTAGGATACGAGAGTATGAGGGGTGGTCCCGCCTAGGTCCCTGTAAAGACCTAGGTGCCCGGCGGGGCGGGTCCACGGCTCAAAGAGGGCAGGAACCCCACACCCACAGACTTCACGTATCACTATGGCCCATAGGCTATGGGCGCGTGTGTGACATGTTTTATTTTTGGCTATACGTCCAGCTTGTACATTGGGCAATGTGCATGTTGCCTTTACTGCAAGTCAGGTGTCCTTGTGAAAATGTGTCTCCTCCCTCGCCCGTGCCTCCATCCCTCCATCAACTATGTCCTGGGCACCCTGGAGCTGAACATGTGCTCCCCACAGCGTGGGGTGGGGCCAGGCCGACTTGGGTGGAGCATGTCCGATTGGACATGCGAAGTGCCCTTGTTAGAAGGGGAATGCTTTGCAGATGGAGTCTGGCGCAGTCAATAGTGCCAAAATGCCGATTGGTATATGTGGATCGGTGCCGCCAAGGCCCTCTTGCATTCAAGGCTGTGTGAAGGCCAAGTGGGCACGGACGGTGGGCATGCGGGCAGATTTCCACCAAGCTTACTTCAGGGCTTGAGGAACCACGGCATACATTATAAACATCCACAGTACCGCAATAAGTACGACATGACACTAATGGAATTTGAATATTGGGGTTATCTCCGCGAAGAGAGTTGAATGCTTCTGCTGCAGAAATGTCCGCAATACCCACCTTGGTGTATACCATAGATTTGCAGCCATGGTGCTTCTAAGCTTAGAAGGCTTGATCAAGCCTTCAATCATTCAATCATAATTGCGACTTGCAGTCCCTCAACGCTACCCGCGGAGCAAGAATCGATACACTATCCATCGAGTAATGAGCTGCTCCCATTCCACATTGCCTGGGTATCGCTGGGCTCAAAACTTTGCAATTTGCAGGGAAATTTCCCCTTTGGCCATTTTGCAAAGCCGTTTCGCAGCAACAAGTGCTTGAGTTTATCGATTTCGGAGAAAACACTATTTGCCCCGCAGTTGCAGCGGTGGCTGCCCGTTGCGATGCATCTGGGCGCATTGCTTGGGCTACAATGTGGGCAATCCACTTACGCAGATCGTATTTTTATTATAAGAACGATAGATAACTTTAAATATACGATCGATGCAGCTGTGGAGGATGGAATGGGGATACACGCCATCTACGACACGACCATGTTAACAGATTCAGGCGGCGCAAGTCAGTGTCCACGCGTGGACATTGTACGGCTGATCGATCTTTTCCAATGCCCGTGTTTCAATGTGGCCGAAGAGGAAAACACAAGGGACGAATTTTCCCCCGCTGCCCAACACCGCCCTGTTTGCAGTGCCACTCTTTTAGCCCTTTCAGATGCGATGCCAAAAAAATTGAAATTTGGGATGCGCTCGTTGAGCGAAATTCGAGAGTATAAAGCCGTTCAAACGTGATGCTAAACTTTCAGAATGCCCAGGAGTCCAATATAGTCCAATAGGAAACCATCAGCAGGTCAGGCTTGCTGCGACCCGAGCCGGGAAAGCTAAAAGTTGCATGCCAGAAACGTTCTCTTCATCCAACGCGTCCATCATGCGTGTCATTCAGCAGACAGCTGCATTTATGGTAACGATTATACTCATCAGTGCAACCTCCACCCCCCTTGCCCTTTATGTGACCTGTATCTGTTTCTGTAACAATTTTTTACCGGTTCCCTCGGAAAAAAAAACGCAGAGCGAAGCAGAAAAAAAAGAAAAGAAACTTCTGTTTTGACGACAACAGCGCATTGTGGGACACGGTGGCCAAGCGTCCGCGGCGCGCAAAACGGCAGCCGACTGGAGTCCAGGGAGCAAGAGGCGCGCCTGGGTTCCCAGAATGCTCACAGCCACTCGGCCCCCAGCGGCGGGCATCGAAGCCGGGCTGACGACGTCGCAGGCGACATGGAGCCCGTGAGTTGGCCGCGAGTTGCCGCTCGATCCGGTTGTGCTCTTAATTGTCTTGCTCTGATTTTTGCTCGATCGCGAGCTTGCCGCGTGCATAGAGGTGTGCTGACTGCGAATCTGATCTGCCGCGTAGGTATGACAACAACGGCGGGTGAGATCGGAGTGTGGAAAAGCGCTGAGCGTTTGGGTGGTGGGGGGAGGACGATTATGTGATCGTGATCTGCGGCCCTCTTATGCCGTTGAGCTGCGCGAATGGAGCGGCCCTCCCTGTTCTTTGCTCCTTGCGCGGTTGAATTTCGGTTTTGGACGCGGCAGCCGGTGCTCGCTTGGATGTGAACTAGCGATCTTGGGACAGCAGATGTCCCTGCAGGGAGGAATTGATCCTCCGTTGTTGGCTGTGCGCTCGCTCTGGAGCTCTTCTCTTGATTGCATTCATCGACGCTGGCGTGTCATATTCACGGCATTCGCTTATGTCCTTGTCTGTCACGATTCATTTGCCCTTTTGCCCTTTCTGGCGTGATTCCCTGGATTCATTTTCAAAAAAATGTTGCAAACATAGCCCTTCCACCTGCGAGGCGATGTTGGGGACGTAGCTACACACATAATGTCCAGAAGCCTCATTTCCTTGAACATCAAAGTCCAAGTTGTATCCAGTTGGAGACCACTGGGGAGTTATGTCTGCCCCCACCGTGGTGAGGCGTGTCCATTCCGACACAACTGCGTTGATTGCCTTGCTCGACTTTGATGAATCACAGCCAGCTGCCAATAAGCGGATAGAGGCCTCTGCTCAGTGCCCTTTCTGCTTTTGCTGGAAGGTTTGTCGAAATAGAAAAGGGAAATGTTTCATGCGTTGGCCACACCCTCCATGGGCAAAACCTTTGTGGACTCTTTCCCACGCTGTGGAAGATTATGCAAAAGTCAACGTGTGCTGGCGCAACGATTTTCTTGGGCAAAAGCCAACACAGCACAACCGTGTGGCAATTCTGCTCACAGTCTTCTGTTTCTGGCTGCAGGACATGCGTTGCAATAGCAGGAGCGGATTACTGCCTTGCTGCAGCCACCACAAGGCTGTCTACCGGCCTCAACATCTTGTCAAGAGATGCTAACTTTGTGGAGAAAATGTAAGGGTTGTGCTGCATCCTGCATGTTCAAATCTAGCACCTTGATCTGGATTTTGAGCAGTTATGAATCCACAAGGGTGGTTTAAATGCAATACAATGTGCATGCTACAGTGCGCACAGCAGCCCACTGCACTGTCGTTTGGTACCATGCACGCAAACCATTAGTCTGGCCCCAAGGTGCCCGACATCGCCCCTTGCACGTGAAACAGCAGCTATTTGTCCTGTTGTAACAAAAGCAACTATTGGCGAATTCCGCCCAACGGCTGGTGCTCACGTGCCTTTCATGTGTACAACCATCGATTCCCATTTGTTCAAAGTGAAAAAGCACAGCCATTGTACCTGCACCTCGATGTCGCATGCTGAGTGTCCAGAATGCGATCCCCACATATGCCAGATTCTGAACATGCTTTTTTGTGCTGTTTGATCAGATCCAACCACTGTGTCATCCTGTCGGCAGGGTGCCAAGCAGATGCCAAAGCCCTTCAGAAGCACATGCGGGCCCGGCACGTGATGTACCAACACCAGCACAACAAGCCCATGACGTGCCAAGCCGTGGCTCAGCTGCTGTCTAACACAATGTACTACAAGAGGTTCTTCCCTTACTACACGGAAACACTGTGTGCAGGCTTGGACAAAGACGGTGCGGCCGCCTGCCCTCTGCAAATGCCCATTTAAGGTTGTCACAGCTGTGTGCTGTGTGGGTGGATGGACTGAACTGATATTGTGGGATTCGACGTTGAGCAACATGTAGCCGAGTAATGCATTGTGCGCTTTGCTCATCAGCATATTGAACAGAAGGATTTTCGCATCTCCATGCCAATGACTGTTGTTATTACCAAACCCTTGTGATCCAAGAAAACGTCTGTGGATGACGAGTGGGCATGACGAACATGGAAGAAATTTTCACTGCACATGTCCAACGGCTCAGCATGATACCAGCAGAATAGCATGAGGAGTCATTCCCTTACTGCAGAGGCAAATCTCCATGCAGGCTTGTGCACAGAGGATGTTGCCCACCATACCACACATTCAGATTGTGAGATGTGGCATGTATGGTTGTATCGACTTGCAACGAACACTGCACTTGTGTGCATTCAAGACTTTTTGAGCGGCATTGCTGTCATGGGGAGTGCGAGTGTGTGGTTATCTGTGTATGTGGTTTTTGATGAGCTGGCATGCATTCAACACCAAACTGCTTGACGTATGTCCTTTGAGAGGTGTGTTCTTTTGCACATGAATGGTCTTGGGGGCCTTCCCCTTCCCTGTGAAACAGCACAGGGCCCACATGCCTTCTGCTGGGTTGGGAGTGTCTCCAAGGCTCTTAATTGCTATGTACTGTTCTCGAGCACCCAAATATATATACAGCATATTGCCCAACCCACACTGGCGGATTTCCACAGTTTGGACATGACTGAACTTGAAAATGCATCCCCGAAAAAGGCAGGCAAGCACAGCCCAAAAGAAATCAGGGGACACAGTGGTAAGTTCATGCAGCAACATTGTCAGTGTGCAGAATGCTTTCAGCTGGCACGGGAGCTCTTGATTAGCTTTGTGTCGGTGTTTCGAGCTGCAGCACACTCTGTGCTGACAGCAGTGTTGCGTTTTTATGCAGGCTCGGGCTTGGTGTATTCGTACGACGCCATGGGCTCTGCGGGGGTCTCTGGGTATGCTTGCCGAGTGAGTGCCCCCTGCCTCTTCGCACTGTGCAATGCACTTTGGGCTTCACAGCGCAATACTGACTGATCCTTTGGCACCTGTTGGCACCGTGTCAATAATTTGCAGGTAGTGGGTCTTAACCATTTGATTTAGACCCCGGTGCAGTGCACCAGTCCTCATTGATACAGTGGACCTGCGCAGAAGCTGCTCCTTTCTTGTTGCCTAGAGGCTTCAGGTTCAGTTCCGTGACCATGTTTGTGAGGCTGTTTTGGCGACGATTGAATTTGGTGCTGCCTCACTGTCGGTACTAGAGATGGACTTCGACTTGATCATTTGGTCTATGGGCCAAACTCACTGATTGGATTTGACAGCAGTGTCTGGAAAATGGCAGAGCATTGTCCCCAAACCTTCTTTGCAGTGTGCTTGTGCGTGGAGGGCAGCAGGAATGACAAAATGTATCCATCACTGGCAATGTGAAAAGCATAATGTCCATGTCCATGCATAATGCAATGATCAGAGGGATTCAGTTGTTTAGCAGTCCATGCAGATCTCACGGTATTTTGGCAAAGAGGTTGTGAGGGTCAGCAGTTTGCAATAACAGGGGCCCAGGCAGGCAGAAGCAGAGTGTCTGGTGGTCACTGGAAATGACAGCACTCTGTGTACAGATGTGTGTGTGTGTGTGTGTGTGTGTGTGTGTGTGTGTGTGAATGGCACACAACACTGCCTGATGGGTGCATGGGCAATGATTTGTCACCTTTTGGTGGAATTCACAAATGCAGATGTATGCAAATGCCACCCAGTAACCCACAGGGGTGATGCAGGGCACTTCTGGGCCAATAGCTTGGCTAGCACTGAGTGTGTCGATGAAATTCGAGGTTGCAGACATGTGCACAGATCTCCATGCCTGGTATGCAGATGCAGCAGCTTCCTGGTATTCACATTCTGTAAGATCCGATTAACAGGCAATTCTGAGTCCATTGTCATGATGAACTGCTTGGCTTCATGTTGATGCTGCAGGGTACGGGTGAGAGCTTGATACAGCCAGTGCTCGACAACCAACTGATGGCTGCTAGTCCGCTGGTTCTCCCAGTGCAGGTAGGCCGCTGCAGGAATTGCAGATACAAATATAAACAAGACACAGAATGCAAAGTACAACAGCTTGTTTCGTGACAAGCTGTTGAGCACTGAAGAGGGAAATGAGTGGCTGATCGCATCGTGAGGTGGCACGGCAACTCCAAGGTTTACATTGTATGGATCATATTGTGGCAACACCACATCATGAAACAAAGGGTTTGCACCTGGCAGGCAGCGGTGGATGAACTCTGAGCATCTTGCACTTAACAGCTGCAAGCAATAATGACATTCTTCCTTTGTGTTGCTGGTATGTTTGACGTGTCTCAAGCAAGCAAGTTCCCAATCAACGATTGTCAGCAAATGGCACTGCACCTGCGTTGTGGGGCAGCAACTTGTATGCAAGCCCCAGTACGATGCCTGTTTCTGTATTGGCACCACCAGGAAGTGAAAGCACTGCAAGAAATGTGCATCCGACCATCCAGCAGTTGCTGCCTTGTGGCTTTCAGTGTTTGCTTGAAAAGTGCTTGGGGTGGTGTGCTTTGCATTTCCAACAACATCCTCACTGATATGGCAGCACCCCATGCTGAAATAACTGGATCATGTTGTTGTGTTTGAAATGGGCTTCTGCAATGTTTGGCAAAGCAGTGCCTGCCACTGTGTGCAAGTTGCAAGAGTGGTGTCTGGTCATTCAAAGGCAGATTTGGCAAAGTTAGCAAAGTGCTGTATCTCCAAAAAAATTCTGCTGAATGGACGATGCCACATGCCTGGATGAACAAGCGTACGTTCCATGGGTATTACTCTTATCCCTCCCGCCGCTGGACACATTTGTACACTGCCCTTGGCGTTTCCATGCTGTGCTGTTGCCTGTGCACATGTTGTCCAGGAGTATGTTGATATGATTAGTTTTGATTGTGCATGTGTTAAAATGTAATGATAAGAAACAAGCTTGTTAAAAGTACAGTTTTGTATTATTGCGAGTACTTGGCAAAGCACGTCAAGAACCGATGTTGTCCCATTAACTGACTTCGGCAAAGATGCACACCATTCCCCATGTGTTGCTGTTGGCAATGGACATGTCCTTTGCCATGCAACCTTAGGAAATGTGTAAGACTGTGCTGTGATTGCGTTCAAACTGCTAGACTCTCTGGACTTGGCGTCGAGTGTAAAGCAGTGTCCAGAAGCACCAGGTCACATGGCCACTGTGCTTGGCCGCATCGTCTGGGCAATCATGCCAGAATTCTGTCTGCCTTGCAGCCTTCTGTCTCACATCTCCCGCTGGAACGTGCATTGGACATTCTGAAGGACGCATTCACATCTGCAGGGGAGAGGGACATCTTAACGGTTTGTTGATCTTCTGAGCGAATCAAACATCCAGCTGTCAATCTGCATGTGTAGGTTTTGTAGGGTGCTTATGTTTTTCTAAGCAGTGAATACATTGTGCCACTTGGTGCTAAGTGGAAAAGTAATCTAGTGTAGACTGAGCGTGCTGTGGACAGCGAGCAAAGCGCATCAATGCAAGAATTCATGGCATAGGAAACTCGTTGTCCTGGAACAAGATCTATAGGATTTCAAAATGTCAGCTCATCTTCAGAATTCGGGTGTCGCCCTGGTCCAGCAAGATGGTGACAAAGGTCAACATCTCTTCTGTCTGCAGCTATTGTTTCTTCATCTCAAGGCATTGATATCTCAGACCACGGCACCTCACCTTATTCAGGCCTCTGCTTGTGATTGTGTGTGAGATTATGAGTCGATGTTTCGACACTTTCAATGGTGTTGCAGAAGGTTGTTAGCAAATCTAACAGTGTGGCCGTTATGGGCAAGGTATAGTGATGCAGGTGTAGATGTGTGGGTAAAGAGGTATGGGTTTGGTTTTGGCTCAGCACTTTGACTGCTGCACCTAAATATGGACTTCTTTAAGATTGTGGTGTTGTTCAGACGTTAGCTTCACGAATTCGATCAATTCCAGGCTTGAATTCCGTTCACTGCATTAATTTGGAGCGGGTGATGAATGAGGTTGCTGAGTCTTGACAACGGTGGTGCCTGTGTGGTACTCCCTTGTGCGAGACACACTTGACTGCTTTGTGCTTGGTTACCGATTGCAGGGCGATGCCGTTGAAATCCTGATCTTGACCAAAGAGGGCACAAGGACAGAAAGGATGGAGCTGAAGAAGGACTAGCTTGGTGACCAACAGCGCCCACCCCAAGGAGAAATGGGGTTTCACAAGTTGCTGCAGCAGTGATGGCCAGCCAGCTATTTGGCAACCGAGCTTGAGGGTCATGCTGTTCAACAGCATTTGCTGGTTGGACATGGGCCCATGCCTGCAACGGTGGGGACCATGGATCTTCATCTGCATCGATGCTGTGGCAACATGGCTGGATCAGCTGCCTTATTATGCTTGTGAAACAGATGCAGACATTTGTCCATTTGATGCAGCAAATGGCATTTCTGCCCCAACGAACTGTACATAAGACGGTGCCTCACTTCTCCACACTGATAGCAGAAACGGCAGCTAGAAAGTGAGCAGACGCTCAGAAACATGGGCGTGCAGGTGTCCCTGAAGTGATGGGGGAAGAACTTGGGCGTGAAGGTGTCCCTGAAGAGCTCGTGCTCGCTTCAGCATGGTGCTCAATTTGGCAATAGGATGTATGGGAGCATGGAACTGGCCAGCTCAGAGAACACGTCACTGTGACTCTGTAATTGCTTCGAAGTCGATAATCTGAACGATCTTTGCATCGGAACAATGCATGGGTGGTGGTCCATGCTTGGCACGCCCTCTGGCATTCCTCCAGAGGTGGCACTGGACTGGATCGCCAATGAAGCCACTTGCTGCAGGCATCGCTGCAGTCTGCCCGCTCAGTGACTTTGCAACCGCTGTTTGTGCGGGGTGGCAGTAGCTAGCGCGGTCGCAGCAGCTGCAGCCTTGCCACGGCCAGCGGTGTTGGGATTTGGGCAAACGGACCACATGAAATGCGCCTCTGAAGCAGGACAACTCAGTGCGGCATTCACTACTCAACCCAAGGAAAGTGAACAACGTACCAGGGGAAATCTCGTGGAAATAGGCGTTTGATGAAGACAAGTTTCATTCAATCAATTATTGGCAATTTTATCTCCGTGAAGAACGGATCGAATTTGCGCAACGTTCACAATATCCTGTTAGCGGATCCGTGGACTCAGTTGTGCATGCAGGAGCGTCTGTGGCCCAACGTCAAATGTCGTCGAGGTTTGAAAGAATCAATTGTGGCCGCAGCGCCCAAGACCGGCATCAGGGCAGCGCTTTGGGTTGGTGGATTGGTCCAGTCTATCAGGTCAGGCAGTGTACTTGAGCACAGCGCATTGCCCGAAAAGGTCGATTCACCCCACCAGGGCAAGCACAGCCTGCCTGGCAATTAAAGCTTGCGTCATTGTGCGAAACATGCCGGGCTTTGTACCTACATAAGCGGGGAGCTCACGGTCGTCCTCGCTTGACATGAAATGCCTTCCTTGCCACAAGTCATTTCTTGAACGAAGGTCGACGAAACAGCAGCGCCAGCTCTCAGCTGCCATGCGACATTTTTGGGATAGAAAACCGATTTCAGGGGTCCAACCGCTATGTTGCATTCTGGAATGAAAAAAGCTCTGGGTGCCCACCTTCTTGGATACTACGTATCACCTGATGACGCTGCCACCCTCCTCTCGGATCGCACCCCTCCCGCCACCCCCGCCTGCAAGAACAGTCGAGCCACGAAAGCCGCCACCCCGTCCAGACCCCTCCCCTCTTCCCCGGCCCCGTGCGGCATCCCCGCAGTGATCGACTCGCCAAAACGGATCAAGCGGTGCCGATCGCATCCACGAGATGGCAATGGCAACGGAGCGGGCTCCCGGCGCCGCATGTCCCAAACGCCCATTCCCCCGGTGGGCAGCTCTGGCTGAATCGTTCGGCTTTGATCGTGCTCGCCTCGTTGACTGCCATCCGGGGCATGCCGACCTTGTGGGGCGTTTGCTGGAGTCTGTACAAATGATGAAGTCCTTCGCGCTCGTCGCTGCGCAGGCTGGTGGCTCCTCCACGGGCGCTGACGAATCGGCGGCCTGGCGGGAGGGGTGCGAGGACGATGCTGGCCGTGGGGCCGATTGCCCTGCGAAGGGCGAACCGGGCGGTCGTGATGGCCGCGGCCGTCGAGCGGCAGGCGCGTGGCGCGCGATCTGATCACCGGGCTGGCCATCCCCGTCACTCGCGGGCTGATCGACCGCGAGGTCTTTGATTCGCTGCAAGGGGCGTGGGGGGGAGGGACGCGCTGATGCAAGGTGGATACGCAGGGCGGGTGGCGCGGTATTGACTGTGGCGAGTGGTAAACATCGCGGAGGTCGCGGGGAGAGAAATGACTGTTTTGGGTGCATTGATTGATGCGCGCGTTAGGCTGATTCGCCCCCGGGTTGGGCGGAAGCGGGCAGCCAGGCTGGGCCTGATTTGGAGGGGCCGCCATCGAGCTTGACCGCTGCTCTGTGGGCGCAGACGCTAGCGTCGTCGATCGACGCCGATGACGGGCTGGAGATAACTTTCGACGACGGGCAGGACCCCCAGGCCACCCTGGTGCTTGTGAAGGGGGAGGATTGCTCGGGCCTGCTGGAACCGCTCTCTGTGGCTCTGAGGAATCAGGACTTGGTGATTCTGTCCGCGACGGTTAACCGGACGGACGGCGTCTTCAGGGTCACCAACCAGGACGACACTAAGGTGAATTGATCTTCAACGCAGCAAAAGTCTGATCATGCTGTGCAGTTGGGCCATGCATCGTGAGGAACACTTGTTTAGGAGGGTGTTCTTTGTATGACCTGTTTCTCTATCTCTTTGTGACAAGTCGTACCCTCCCAGGGAAGAACTTTTGGGGGCGCCTGTGCACGGTGCGGAGGGTTGTGGGAGGTTTGGAGGGCAAGTGGGAGCCACAGAGGTGGTGCTGTGGTGTTTGTCTGCTTTTGAATTGGTGCGCTGCTTGGATGTGAAGGGGATGTTTCTGACGAAAAGGGAAACGCATCGTCAAGTGGCACGCACACCTGAGGAAGAACCAAATGGCTCCTTGAGCAAGAATTGGATGCCTGGATGCTGCAACAATGATTTTCAATTCGTTGCCTTTGACATTTAGCTGCTTAGGACTGCTGACCGCCAAAGGCTAACATGGGAAGCAAAAGGGTGCTTGGGCTATGGTGAAATCAGAACAACTGAGATGGAGAAATTGCTGATCGGGAAAAAAGTGAGATGTAGGACACTTGGGCCCACTGCCCCATGTGCAGTGGGTGAGGTTCATTCCAGCTGGGAAAGTGTAATAATCTTTGGCTGTGCTGTGCGGGACGCAATTGCAATGTGGAAATATATGGACTCCTATCAACAGTTGAATTCAGTTGCCTATATCTTTGAATGAATACAATTGGAGCATTTCCAGGTGTTTCGAGCAACGTGGCGTTCTGCCAGTGCAAGATGACGTTGCTTTTGTCTACGTGTCCAGCACATTGCCCCATTGGGCACAGTCCGATTGTGCGAACCTAGTCCAGTTGGACAAAAACCTTTTGTCTTCAATTGCTTTGATTGCATTTGTCCATTGGCGACAGAGTATAGCCCTTGTGCTTTGCACACCAGTGACAACAGGCATAACTACAGGCAAAATTGGTACCAAAACATGTGCTTGCCCCCCATGAGTAGTGGTGAAGCATATGGATGGGACAGTGGGCGTTGTTGTCTGACTATGTATTTCATACCTGTCTCCAGACCTGAGTTATCCAGTTTGAGTGCTATGCACCATTCTATTTTGCCATCCACACTTTCCAGAACACTTGCTCACTGCAAAGCAGCCACCGATGGAACGAATGTGCCCTGTGCCACGTACATGCCATGTATCCACAGAGGGCTTTGCTTCCTTCATGTTTGACTGGGATGGACAGGTTGTGTGAAAAATCAACTTCTACAAATAAGGGCATTGTTTGATGTCGCTGTTGGTTGTGCAGATTGACACAAACACCTGGGAGGACTGTCGCGAGAAGATTCAAAAAGACCTCATGGCTGCAAAGATCTTCAGCACCCAGCCATTGGTCTATGGCATAGAGCTGGGAGAAGGGAAGCCAATCAAGCCCATCGCATCTGGGTTTCAGATGGTAGGAAACAGTGCAGAATATGATCTGTTGGATTCTGGCATTGGACCCAAGCAAATGCCAGTTCTCTGGTCCAGCTTGCAGCCAACACTTGTTGTTAGCTGGTTGCCCAGAACTGTCAGCGTTCCAATTGAGTGGCATGACAACAAAGGCACACAGAAGGCACTGCAGCACCAGCATCGTCCATATATCTCAAGGACCCTGTTGAAAGGTGGATAATCGCAGGGTGAACATGATGCAGGGCGCTTTGGAGTGTTGCATCAATTGTGCTTTGCAGCAGCTGCCAATTCAGGACCAATGGGGGTTGCTGTGTTCACAGCTCTATGGGCATCTGTTGTTGAAGTATCAGGACAAACAGAATCGCGGAATCAATAAGTGATTGATCTGTATCCAAATGTAGCAATTGCCACTGACTAAGGCTGGTATCTGATAAAATCTTGGTTCAATTTCATGCAGGGCAATGTTGACACCCTACGTCAGACTGCTGAGGAGGTGGCTCAGGCGGCACTTACATTGGCCAATATTGAAAGGGAGATAGTGGAGATCATGTCCAATGGGGTAAGTTCTGTCTGGTCCATCGTGTGGATCCTTTTTTAACTGCTGTATCAAGATGTGGCACTGTCAGTTGTGGTTATGGCACAGCTCAGATTTTCAGGCAGTATTTGAGCACCTGAAACCACAGATCCCAGTACATGCACTGCAAATTGGATGGGCCCGGGGGGTCTGTTGAATGTAAATCTGAATGTAAATCTGTACATTTAATACCATAGTGCTGCAGGCTTTGACATCGTGGCTGTCCCCCCCCCCCCCCATCCACGTGCAATACGTTTTCTGTCATTGGGGCCCCTGTGGAAACAAGCAGTCATAATTGGTCAACGAAAGTGGAGATTATTCTGAGGTGAACACTGGATGCTCTAAATTTCATGTCACAACAGGTGCCATGACTTTTGACGCCGAAGCACCATGTATTCGAAAGAGTCATAATTTGAAATGTGGACTCGCTTTTGCTTGGAAAGTTGAAACGGCAGCTGCTCTCCTCTCCTGCAGTGATCCTGCATTCACCTATGACACAGGTGTTGGGTTTGTTGTGCTAAGCACTATGAAATCTTGCAGGCGTAGAAAAGCTGATGCTGTCTGACGATCCCAGCTTCACACAGTCACATACCATAAACAATGTCCCACTACGTTTTTAGTGTTGCTGCAATGGACACTTTCAATCGTCGTGCTGTGATCTCTGATTGGGCCGACTTGCGATGAACAGGGCGATGTTTCAGCGTTGACCGTCAAGGAGGCAGATCGAGCCACGGCTGCTGCCCTGTTGGACAGGCCGCTGCTTCAACTGGAGGCCATGCTGGCCATGAGAAGGGCACCTGAGGTACATTCACCCAACTCCTTCTTTCCAAACTGTTCCCATTTCCTCCGGTCGTCCCTATTGCTTTTCTGCTGCAATGCGACGGGGCACTGCCACTGCACCTTGAAGGCGGCGATGGTGGCATCCCCTGCTGTGCGGCCCTTTTGCTGACAGCGCCAGTGCATTCGTGTGACAGAAACCCAAAGAGCCAGAGGCTGCCCGCGGTGGTGGCGCAGATCTGCGCTTTCAGGCCGGCGGTGGTACAAGTACTGGGCCAGCCTCAGGAAATGGCTATGAGATCCTTCTCCAGGGATTCAACTGGGAATCACACCACCAGGTGCGCACCAGGTGGTAAAGTAAACACTCTGATTGGCACTACACATGGCAGGGGATGTACCATAACAATGTTGATGTGGGCTCTGCTAAAGTTCCCACCATATTCTGTCACTTTTTCTTGGTTTCCTTTCCTGTGTTACATCAAGTTTAAGAAATCAGGTGTCAGGGTGCCACAGCCACGCTCCTCAGTACAAAAGAGATGCCAGCGTTTTGCCACCTTGCAAACAATTCAAAGCACAATGCATGGTGCTCAGCATTCCAATGATCAGATTCAAGACAGCTGGGCCCATGACTTGAGAACATGCTGAATTCCGCTTCCATGTATTCGGCCCATACGCCAAAACAATGCCTGTGCATTCAGATGGATAATGTTTGCCATCCACGCTGCCTGTTTCCAGAGTCTGTATGTATAGCTCATGCAGTCTGTCTGCTAATGGCGCTCACAGCTTGCTCGTGATGCCCCTTTGGGGTGAGCCCAAGTTGGCACTCAATCTGTGCAGGAAACTCTCAGAGCCCTGCACTGCAACTGTTGCAAGTATGATAAAGAAGAGTTCATTGCCACTACCTAAGAACTGGGTGTCATCGTTACGATACGTTTTGTTTCTGCACCCACTTTTGCTATGGCATTGTCACCTGTTCTTGACAGGGCAGCAGCAGGAAGATGTTGCTCTGGTCTTGCCTGATCTGCTGGCATTGTGTGCGGCTGTCCAGTTCCTTGCTGCAAAGACCACTGTGGGCAAGAGCACCAACTGGTGCATTGCTTTCTCTACATAGGCATTGGCTTTTGGCAAGTACTTTGTCAATGCTGTAATGTCATGGGCATTGTGCATCTACCCATCATTGCAACACCTGCCTCTCAGTGTAGCTTGGACCTGCCAGTTCCTCAGGTTCTTGTCCTCGGAATGTCCATTTCCAAAGCTGACGAACAGAGCGTTCTCATGCACGTCTTCCACAGGACTGGTACAACATCATTGCCAATCAGGCCCATGACATTGCCAAATTGGGTTTCACAGCTGTGTGGATGCCGCCACCGAGTGATTCTGTCAGTCCACAGGTGGGTGGCAGCCCTTGTGTTTTCAATTATAAGCAGGACCACTTCTGGCGGCTGGACCATAGAACCCAGAGCTTCAGGGACAAAGAACTGTGAAACCGATGATCGTGCAAGCCTGAATGAAATCCTGCTCAGCATAGAGGCTGTTTAGTGTTGGCACAAAGCCAAAGGCCCAGGTACTTGTGTTTGCGCATTAAAAATTCAATAACTGCCACTTCTGCCAGGCACAGAGAAAGACCAAATCATGGAATGGGACATCTTCCACAACGCTCCAATGTCTATTCACGAAACCAACTTCTGCAAGTTCCACCACACCTTCCACCCCACCCTCATTTCTGCATATCCCGTTGTTGCTCACCATATGCATATGTCCTCTGTTGGCAGGCATGTTTCACAAACCCTCTTTTGTGTGCTTCCAGCCTGATATTTGCATATGTGCAGCCAGTTTCTCAAAAAAACCTTTCAAGGTTAGATTTGTTTTCGGGTTTGAGTTTCGAAATTGCAGGCTTGGAGGTCACCCACATGGAAAGGATGGGCTGTGGGTGCTGAAAATATAGGCTGTTAGTGCACATGGGAAATGCCAGGGTGTAAACGCCCCATGAAACGATTTGGGTGCTTCTTGGGGCTGTAGGGAACGTAAGCAGAAAGTGTTGTTTGGGACCCTGCACTTGTTTTGGTGAACAGACCACAACATCTGTCAGGTGCGAGGGCAGTGTTTTGTTGTGCTTTCCCCTCTTCATTTGAAGAGAATTTGCATCTGGATGTTGTTGATTTCTCTTCTTGATTTTTTCCTCGCTACTGTGTGCAGGGTTACCTCCCTCGAGATTTGTACTGCCTGCACTCTGGCTATGGATCTGAGGCAGAACTGCGGCATGCCATATCCAGCATGCACCAGAACGGCCTCAAGGTGCTTGCAGACGTGGTGGTAAATCACAGGTGTGCGTCGGAGCAAGGGGAGGGAGGAAAGTGGAACAAGGTGAGGCGATGTGCACCAGCTGGGCTTCTTTCCCAAATTTCGATTGCAAGCGAGAGTGCTTGGGCACTACCCCATCACATGAAACAGATGCAGGCCTTTGGCCCCATTGCCACCATTTAGATCGCTGGACCAATGCAGTGCTCATGGCTCACTGGTCCTCTTGCTGGACGCCGTACATGAAAGAATTTTTGGAAGAGCTCAGCATGTTGCTGTCTTCAGCACACACCATCCCACAATGTCCCTTTGCTGCCTTACTTGCCAGCGTAGCAGTCACAGATAATAGCCATGCATCTCAGTCATTTGATTATCCAGCATCCAGCGGCAGTGTAGTGTGCAGTCAGAGCCTGCACAGCAGTTGTCAGGGCCTGTTGCTTAGTGGCATTAATGTGCATCACTATCAGCATTTGTTCTAAATTAGTTGTTTGCATTGCTTTGCACAGTTTGGCGGGCGGTTGCCATGGGATGCCAGCGCAATATGCACAGGTAACCCAGAATGGAATGGAAGAGGCAATCCAAAGCAAGGAGATGAGTATGCCGCTGCTCCCAATATCGACCATTCGAATCCAAGCATCAGGTGAGCAATTTGAGCTTGCATCGACTTTCTTCCTGCTGTTGTCCATGTTTGCGACCATTTGCTGTTGTCCAGCAACAGCCCCGTGGGTCGTGGCACAAGTTGGCAACTGCGGATGTCAGAGTTGTAGTGGTGATCAAAATGTGCCATATTTGCAGAGGTTATTGGGAAAATGTTCGCAGAGCAGTGCTGTCTGCCAATGGCTGAACAACGGTCATGGAATTTGTGCACACTGGGCTTTGTGAGCAGAGGGCTTGTTCAGGTTTGTGTTTGCTGAAGGCATTTTGTTGACAGGAAACTGGTGCACTTTGCTTGTTACCTGGTCTGCAGCACGTGGTATCTGAGCACAAATTGGTGACGTACAGCCATCAAGTGTGCTGTCTGCTCAAAATCAACTGTGCCCAGATGTGTTTGCACATCCAAGGCCCAAAGTATGCCCAGTGGATCTTGCGTACAAAAATTGTGTCTGATAACGATACAGAGGGTCAGAATATTCTGACAATAGGATTAGTTAATTGTCTGTGCCTATCTGTGGTGTGTGTGCACATTGACTTGTTTGTTCGACGCAGTTATGAGTTAATGTGGACAGCATGGCATGGCTTTGTGTTGTTGTGTACAAAACGCGGCGATCATCAGCCCAGTTCTATCGAAAGGCAACAGGCTGCCACCCTGGGAACTACCCATCTACCTGCACATCTCTACAGCAGCATAAAGAGATGATATGAAAGGAAAGTTGTTGCCAAGTCTTTTGTGTGCCCTGTCTTGTTTTATGCACAGAACAGGGAGGGCACTTTGCTAATAAAAGCAGTTTCTGCCCCGTATGCTGCACTCTAACCCCATCTTGCAAGCTGATGGCGAGAGGGAACTACAACCACCACGAGAATGGACATGTGTGGGTGCACAGAGCACGTGACACTACCCAACAGATGCAGTACCATGTTTTATTTGGACCGAACTGTGGCAAGCAAGGTGGGTTTTCACCCACGTGGCAACCTTCGATTTCTCATGCAAGAACATGGCACGTGGGGCTGATGCTTTGTGCCGCATTTGCTGGCGCCATGCAGGGAGGACATCACCAAATGGATGAAGTTCCTGAGGCAGAGTATCGGCTTTGATGGTTGGCGCTTCGACTTTGTGAAGGGGTATCCAGGCACATACCTGCGTCAGTACATCGATGGCACTGTGCCGGAGCTGGCCATCGGCGAGTTCTGGGACAGCTGCGATTACACAGACAGTGTGCTGAACTACAAGCAGGTGCAATACTCACTGAAGCCACCGCTGATAGGCCTGGCTTTGTACATTCCCAGAAGTGCAGGTGTCAGAATAGCCATGAATAATAAGGTTCATGCCCCATGCAGATATTGATGGGTCCAGAACGATCTCCATCATTCCAATCCTGTTCATTACATAGGCTTTGTTGCACGACAGTGACCTTGTGTAAGTATGGTTGGATGGGGCGATGAACTGGTGCATGCAAGTCAACCCTGTTGAGTGTGGCTCTTGTTATTGTCTGTCCCACCACAAGGGATATCAATGCCAGACAATGCTGTGCCTCTGTTCCCTGCTAGTGGATGCCTACGATCTCAACACTCAGCCACTGAAAGGAGTTAGTGTTGGCTACCATTAAGTTGCTGCCATTGTTGTGTTCTCAGTACGTACATGAAGACATCTGATTCTCTTGTATCAGATGCAACATCTGAAGCACTCTTGACTGGGAGGGAACATCCCCTTGCAGGACCTCATTTGTCCTCTCAGTACTTTACTTGCCACATTTTTTCCTTTGCCATTGTCTTTTGCAGTCGATTGCATTATTTCATCCTTGTTCTGCCACTGGCGCCCCCAGGATCACCACCGCCAGCGCACTGTGAGCTGGTGCGATTCCACTGGGGGCACATCGGCGGCCTTCGATTTCACCACCAAGGGGATTCTTCAGGAGGCGGTGGGGAGGCAGGAATATTGGTGGGTCGCAATATGAAAGAGCAGAAAAATGCTCTTTGGGCCTCTGTGTCATTGTCCATCAGGTCACTTGGAGGCACCATTCCTGTGAATCTCTTGCTCCATGCCTATACATCTCCAGCACACTGTGGCTTGGGGAAATCGCACATGTGGTGATCGTTTTAACATTAAGTGAGCATTTTGAGACGAGATATAACCTCTTGGCATCTGCAAGGCACAAGGGCAGGGCTTTGCCTCGTTGAACAATTTGCTGTCAGCGTCGTCAAGTAGCTGGGATATTGTGCCCTAAAAGGGGACAACTTTGTCAACTTGTGGCCCTGTACACACGAATACTTGCTGTGTATGCAGGCACAGTGAATATGCCGTGTGCTCTGGCACTCTGAAATTGTTGTTGTACGATGACTTTGCCAGGCACAATCAATACAACAAAAATAGAGCAGCTGGGTCTGCAGGGTGTTGACGCGAAAACTAGACAAATCAGACAAATGATTCTCTGCTGTGTTTCAAAGCAGCATCTAAGAAAGCTTGTGGATGCTGGACCTCTCGTTGAAGTGTTGTCTTAGTTTCATCACTGTGTTTTGCTGCCATCAATCAATTTCACTAGATGGATGGAACGCATAAGCTGGCTATGGCACAAAAGCCCCAGCGCGCCTGATCTGCCTGATCATTAGCTGATGGTCAGCCTGATCATGAGGCTCTGATATTCAGTGTGCTTGCAAACTGCCTGCTACTGTCAGCAACACAGCACTGGGTCTCATTCAAGGTTCAGCTTTGAGCCTGCACCTGGTGCCGCTGGGAGGGAAATTATGTATGCCCTCTTGTTGCCGTTTCGATTCTGAACGAATGAAATGGCACAATCGATTACTCTTGTTGGGGGATGCACATGCAACATGTTTTCCTTTGGGTTATGGTGCAGCCTTCACTGCAACATGTTCCCCAATGCCACCCTTCTCCCTCACAGGTACATGCGATGGGCGGGTGTCCTTCTTGCAGACGTTGTGTTGAGAAAGATACTTTGGACGTGTTGCTGCAGGCGCCTTGTGGATCCTGAGGGCCGTCCGTCGGGCATGGTGGGCCTGTGGCCCTCACGAGCTGTGCTGTTCATCGACAACCACGACACGGGATCCACACTGCAGCACTGGCCCTTCCCGACTCACGCCCTGGCTGAGGGCTATGCGTACATCCTGACACACCCTGGGACGCCGTGCGTGTTCTACGACCACCTGTGGCAGGAGGCCGACGGCCTGAAGGGCTGCATTGAGGACCTCCTGCGCATAAGAAAGGCGAATGAAATCCACTGCAGGTCTGTGATGGGTGGCTGGTGACCTTGTGACCTTTTTAGGGTTTTAGTTTTGTAGGGTGGAGGGCAAAGGGTGTGATAGTTGGGAACAGTGCAAGTAATTCTGTATGCCAATATGTTTGGCATTCCTCCATTGGTATGAGTGGTGTTGATTGTGCCAGTTTTGGTTTCGTTTCTGTGTGAATGTAGTGTCCTTGGACCAGTCTTGCATGAACACATAGCCTGTCGTGCAGCATTTCCAGACAGGCAACGATTGCCGATGTGTGATGGCAGTACCATCTCATGTGCATAATCTATGAAGCTCTTCACGCTGGCTCGAACATGGTGTCGTCTTATTTGATTGTGCAACTCGAGAGCACTGTTCGTATGCCAATGTCCGGGATCGTGCTGATGTTACTGATCATGGGGACACCTTAGACTCAAAGTAGGTCGATATTGCATGGCAGGGCATCAAGGAGCGTGGCCCAGAAATGGTTTGCTGCCAACGCGTATGAGTGGATTCCTGCGCTATCACCAGTAGAAAATAGCCTGTTGGCGATGCCAATTGCGATGCCATTTGACACAAATTGATGCCATCGCAGCCCCTTTTATGCCATCGCAATCACTGTGACGGCATCATTTTGTGTCAAAATGGCGTCGCAGTTGGCATCGCCAACATGCCGTTTTCTCCCAGTTTATAATGCAAGTCTGCATCAGTGCTGTGGTTGCTGCTAGCGCTATCCCTCTATCGATACCCTCTATCGCTGACCAGCAGAGGGGGCTTGACGTACCCCGGAGCGGCGGTATGTTTACTGTCCTCTGCATGATTGCCCAACCCCTTTGCATCTCTCTTCGCAGCTGGTGCTGTTTGGATTACAGCAGCCGTTGGCACAGTTGCACTGTCCTGCAGCGCGCTTGCTGACCGTCCCTCACACGCCACAGGTCCGCCATTAAGATCTTCCAGGCAACTGCGGACGTCTACAGCGCGGTGATCGACGGCCGCGTCGCCATGAAAATCGGGCCTGGCGATTGGTCTCCGAATCACGACGACGGCGTGGCAAAGGGCTTTGGCCAGAAGGACTGGAAAATGGCGGCGTCTGGCCGCAATTTCGCGGTGTGGGAGGGGAATTAGCCGCAGCGTTGTCCTGAGAGGCCACAGCACTCTCTTCCTGGCGAAAATCGCACAATTGACCCGCATAATTGGGACATGCAACAACCTAGCATGTTCCACTGTTTTTGCACTTGAGCGCCTTGGAACATTGGCGCAACTGCCGTGGTGGGGGGATTTGTGGGATTGTGAAACGAATGGGATTGTCAGTTTGGGGTTTTGAATTGGCTGCGCATTCCGAACGCCCTGTGTGGGCGCGGAAGCGGGGAAGCCTAAGGGATCGCGAAATTTTGGCGTGGGGCGGGGGCGTTGGTCGGCTGGGCACGGGGGCCCAGCTCCGTCCGAAAAGGGGCTTCAATTGATGAGGCTCGCTTGTGGCAGCCTCGATTGGGCGCAGCGCCTGTGGCGGCGCGTCGAATTCTTTGCCGGAATTGAAATGGGGATGAGCTTTGGAAGGCGCGGTTGCGAGCCAGGTGGTGTGCAAGTATATATGCCACAACGGTGGTCAACGTTGCAACGTTGACGTGCCTGGCAGGTCAATGGGGCGGCCTGCATGACTGCTCCTGCAGCAGGACGCATGACGCGGGGCGCCCCTCCTTGTGACCACGGCGTGGCCTGCTTCTACGTCATTTTGACGGAGCGGCGCATTGGCTGCTCCCTAATTTGTCGTTGATTGATGAGCAGTGGAGGATGGATTGGGCCTTTTTTTATGTTCGCCATTGAGAGGACATTCACACAGTGCACGATTGGACCCTGCCGTGATTTGAAAGCTGTGATGGTGTTGGCGGGGCTGCAGCGTGGCGATTTGCTGCCAGGCATGCAAGCATAAATCGGCATTGGGGTTGGGAGCCATAGAGGAGTCGAACGGGGGGGAAGTGGGAGCGCGCTGAGGACTACAAGGGCAAGGAAGCCCCAGGGGCTGTAGGACCGTGGCAACAAGATGCGGACGCTGGCATTGCACGCGGGTCGGTCGGCTGAAAAGCTGTGCTCTAACGGTGCTTTGTCGCAGAATATGTTGAGTGGAAGAGACGCTTGGTGGGGGCCTTTGTTGCCCGTTTCCGTGATTGCTTTTGGCACGAAGGCTGTCTCGCTTTAGGCACGATGCTCCTTTTTGCGTCCTGCTTTGCAGCCTCGGATGGACTTAAACTGTCTCTCCTGCGATACGAGTAAACTTGCGTCGTCATGAAGGTATGTCCAGCACAAGCATCCGGAAATTTGCTAGGCGTTGATGCAACATTGATGGGCACTTCCATCAATGCTGGTCTTAAGAGCTGGTGTGTGTAGAGCGGTCTTGATGCAATGTTGCATCAAGAGCAACATGGCAACGTTGCATCAATGCTTGAATTGATGGAGTGTTGCTATCAAGGGCTGTTGCTGGGGTGTTGATGCAACATTGCAGCAATACGTCTTGATGGTACCGTTGCCGCAAGACACGTTGTTGGAATTTTGGATCAACGACTGTGCACATCAGCGTTGATGCTGAGTTGTATTGCCAAAAGGGAGAACAATGTTACTGCAATACGGGCGTCCATCAACAGGCTTGCAATGGGCTCATTCTTTGATATTGAAAAGTTGATGCAAGGCCCGTTGATGGCAACGCTGCCAGATGGTTCTGTAACTGGCGTGTTGCACCGAGATATCTTTGTTGTTCTTTGAGTCAACCTGTGTTAAGTACACAGTTGGGCCAAGCCTTGGGGAAGATATCGATCAGCAGTTGTGCGCAATGCATCGGTGGTTGTGTCCCCTTGGTGTTGCCATTGGAGGCTGCGCTATGTGCTTTTTGCACCTGGTGCCCTTCTGTTTCCATGTGCATGCAGCTGTTGCCACGTTGTTAGATCGTTGTCTCCCTGAACTGCCCCACCCACGCATCCAACCATGTCTGGTAGTGGACAGCATCGTCACTGGCTGCAGCAGCTGCACCCCTATCTAAGATGCACTCTTATCTGCCATGCAGGGGCCACACGCAGCAAGGGCATGTGCGTCACAACTCCCAATGGGTAGTGCACAAGCATACAACACCATGACATTAACTACAAGTCGTCCACAAAACTGTTTTGTTACAAAGATCATCCTTCCGCTCTCTAATCAGGTTGTTTATGCGAAACCTTGATGACAGCCCCCTTATTGAACCCTGGAAAAGATCAACACCACGCTCATCCCTGCCTTCTTTGAATCCTCGTTGTCTTGGCTGCTGTCCACGACAAGTGACATGTAAACGGCGCTTCCGAACATCAAACGCCTGAGCATCGGGCAGCACACAAGGGACCATTCAGCTTGTCATGCCTACCACGTTCAACACACTTGCCTTTGCTCGTGGCGTTCGCTGCTGCTGTGGAGGCCTTCGCCGCCGCCGCCGCTGCCACCATTGATGGGCCACACAACCGCCTACAGGTCAGGTCGAGGGGCTTCTCACCTGATCGCTGATCGCATCGTCGCCGCCGGCTCGCTCCTATCCAGAATTAGTGCCAGGTAGGCAGCGTCTTAGTGCTACAGCGCCCTGAGCGTCAGGCGCCACACATGGGAGCCCTCAGCACGTTGCGGTCAGCCCACCCGTCAGTGTTCTTGGCGTTTGCCGCCTCAGCCGCCACCACCGTTGATGGGCACCACAACCACGGCCAAGTTCCATACTTCAAGTCAAGGGGCGCGCCACCTGATCGCCGATCGCAAGATCGCCGCCGGGTGGCCGCCATCGTTCCATGTTTGATGGGTGGTGGCCGCTGCCGACACTGGACACTACAACCCTACAACAGACAACACAGCTAGTCACGCCAAACATTCACAACGCTGCAGCCGACAGGCGACCGTCGTTCCATTCGCAGAGCTTCGCTGGGTGGTTGGCGGCGGGGGCAGCGTGGTGGGTGGGCTGATGCTCGTCTTGTCGGGGCACCTTCGATTTGAACTCCCAGAGGAAAGGTGATGGGTTTCTGGCACGGAGAGGGGTTTGAAGTAGACGATGAAAACAACAAGCTGACTAATTGACTGATTCCCGTCGCCGCTCCTATCGAAGTCGATTTTTTTGGGGGGGTGGGGGGTTGGGGGGCGGCGGGGCACCGCTAATATTAGAAAGCGAAATGATTATAGTGCTCATAAATCCAACAACTGGCCAATAGTAGAAGAAGAGAGTTTATTGCTGTTGCCCAAGTCGACGCCTGCACTTGACTAAAAAACGATGATTAGCAATAAGAAGTAAATGCTCCAGTGAATGGTCCGTCCTTCCAATGTATTGACGATCTTTCAAAACTGCAACCAGCTGAAAGTGCCGGATTGTGACAAGCAAAGCACTTGCCAAAGAGCACAGTGGTTCAGAGAATGACAAACCTTGCGGGGGTTAATCACACAGCATCCTGACTGCTCTGCGGCATCAAACTTGTATTCACAGCCATGCAACCTATGGCAAACACATGACTGCGGGTAAACATTCAAACACAAGAAAGTCAGCAGCAAACACATGACCTGAAGCAGACATCCCAGCACGAACCCATCAGGCACAGTCTCCACAGCTTCCAAAGCAAACAAGCCCACTTAAATGCATGAGAAGTCTTCCTCTACAAAAATGCTGGCAATCATGGGTGTAGGCGGTTCTTCTATTTAGCAGCAGCCGCTTTCCAGTCATGGCATCAACTCACTTTCTAAAAGGGAATGCCATTGGCAGACTTGACAATGAAAGCACTGTTGGTACGAAATACGATTGCACTAAGAACCACAACCTGAACAACACAATTCTACAGATATCTTCGTGTCAGAGCAATGCAAGTGATGGCAGTTCAGAGCTCAGAGACCTTTCACATCTGCGCAAGATAGCCTTTGACCTTGCGAATGTGGTCAAAATGCTCATGCCTTATCACAGGATTCTGCAAAAGGGATACAGAAGTGCTTGATTTGCAGAAGCGACATTTAGGCTGGGAAGAAATTGTGCAGCAATACGTTAAGCCCTGTCCATCATGCCAGCCATTTGGTACTCAGTTGGCCATGCACTTCGTAACACAGATCATATTAATCTGCAGGCAGGCTGTGCTACACTGGCAAATGCATGGTAGGAACATGATGCTCTGCTGTATGGTGCAAACATAATTCAGGCAGCCAACTAAAAAGCATAGCAGTTCAGAGGTAGGATACAATAAAAGGAAACAAGTGCCTTCAGCAAGTGTTCGTATCACATGTTCAAACCACATCGTATGAAGATGGACAAATTGTTGCACTAATGCTGTTAGGAAGCATGAGTGACGAGCAACATGATGTTATGGAACACCACAATACTCCGATTTGCGTGCCACACCTCCAACTGTGGAATGATCAGATTTCGTAGTGTCTGCCCTGGGTTGTCTTTATATTGATTGCAGTTGGATGGCCATCCTGGGCATCACATTCACACAATTGATCATGGCCACGATCACCTGAACTGACTTGATACCATCTGCAGCCCATCGACGATGTTGCTTGGACTCGTTGCATCGTGAAAGGGACCACAGGGTCCAGCAAGCCGCCCTTCGATTCAAAGATGATGTTGCAACAGAGTGGTGGACTGGATCCAGCCAGTACACTGCGGCAATGATGTCCACAAGCACAACATTTACCTTGCCACAAGCCTGCTGAATGCAAGGAAGAATCAAGCACATAAGCAACATGAAAAGTGCCAAATCTGCACTTTGCATTCACTAATACGTGATGTTCCTTTGTCATGTGCAGCTCTGAGTCACTGTTGGTGAACATTTGAAGCACGCTCGAAATGTGGAACCCACTTGCCAACATCCCAAAGTCGCCAAGTGCTCGTTTGGTTGAAAAGAGCCCAGCTACACTGTTCGTGTTGGCAACTGCCAATTGTTCACCCAATTGAATTGCACACTAAACAAAAGTCCACCAACTAGGCCCACCAGCTTATTCCTAGGCTGGTGATGTGGCTGGGTAAATCACTTTCTATGCTGAATGAAACAACACACCAGCCCTTCTTCAAGTCTTACAATGCCCAGGGCTCCACATTCAAAGCCACTGCATCACGACATGCAGAGAATAACAAGGTCAAGCGTGCAGAACAGTACATCCTAGAAGGCACAACAGACCGAGCATAGTGTGCATGCTGGCAGCTTGGGTGAAGGCTCTCTTGGGGTTAACGAGGCACCCAACAGGCACCAGCTGCATAGAGGTTGCCCCATAAAGAGAAAAGAAAAGCTCCCTTTCAACACACGGGACGCTTATCGGCCACCCAGACTCACAGAGATGGCAACCTTCCGGCCACCAGGAGGTCACCTCCGACAGCATCGATGGCCAACTATCGTGAGTGGCCCAGCAACGCAACTCCGGCCCCTGCCCCGTTCACACCGGATTTCCCACGTGGCACGTCACGGATCCATTTCGCAAAGCCCTGAGCGGCAGCGTCCCGTGCTGCTCCCGGGCAACGAGCGTGAGTGGCGAACAGCGCTACCCCTGACACGTTCACGCCGGAACTCTACGTGACACATCATGGATTCATTTCGGAATGCCTGGAGCGCCAGCGTCCCGTGCTGCTCCCGGGCAACGATCGTGAGTGGCTGAGCAGCGCTACCCCTGCCGCTGGCCTATTCCCACTGAAAGTCCCACAAGGGCACGTCGCGGATCCATTTCAGAAAGCCTTGAACATGAGCGTCCCAAGGTGAACTCGGTTTCGGCTTGGGCGTCGCGATCAAAGAAAGGATGCAGGCCTCGCACGCGTGTGTCGGTCAAGGTCAGTGCGGTTTACCTCGTTGCGCGCAACCTCCTGTGTCCGCGGTTGTCGTCCACCCGCGTTGTTGCTGGGTCCGCGCGCGCCTTGGCGTTCTTGGTATTGAAACAGCGCATTCGAAACAGGCGTCTGTCAACGTTGCTGGCAACTGACGTGTTGTGGTGCGTTGCGGAACCTTTGTGCAATCAGCTTTGTTGCAGTATTGATGCACGGCGGTATTGATGCAACATTGGCCGCAAATGCATCAATCAGTCCTGATGTGACGTTGACATGCTGGGCCACTGCTTCAACGTTGCAGCAACGTTGATGGGTGGTAGTGGGCCAGCAACATTGCCGCAATGTTGCCGAAAGACACCTTGCCGCGTCGTTGACGAACGCCGGCATCTGTGAGCCGTTGCTCAATAGGCCTTGCCTCAACATTGCTAGTCATTGCTTCAATGACCCCGTTGCCTCAAGCCCCATCAACATTGCATCAACGCCTACCGAATTTCCAGATGAAGGGCACACACGCGCGCGCACACTGCCTGTCCGGTGCCACCTCCCTCACTGCCGACCTTCAGATTCTCTCGTCATTCGCGCATGCAACCGTGCAGAGAATCCGGCTGAGCGTTTGCGCATCAGCATCAATTGTGACCAGGATGCATCACACCTCAGGGTAGTCACCACACACCTGCCAGAGCCGATTGCAAGAGGTTTAGGAGCCTCGACAGCCACTTCTCATCCTGTTTGGACTATTTTCCACACTGCAACATGTCAACCTGCCAAGAATGTAGCACATCGCGGAAGGCGGCGGCCCTCTTGCCCTGCTTCGCGTGAGGGAAGCAGCATCAATGAACGGCTCCTTGAAGGCAGACACAATGGCCCGGCTCCGGCCTGAGGGAGTGCTGAACGATTTTAAGTCTACATAATATTCTCAAACAAACGCTTTAACCATCTGTCGAAAAAACAGCCCCAGGCGGCTTTGCACTGCCCTCTCCGCCAAGCATCGGCGGTTCCCTTCCACGACAGCAGTATCGTCTCTGGCCTTCAAATTTCACGCCAAGTGGTTCTGGCTTGATCTTGTGGCACTTGTGTGTTTGTCCATGAATGGACTGGTCCCGATCCCGGCCCAATTGCACACTGTACCCTTGATTGCAATAGTATGGTGCGCACGCAGGCACCAGCACCTCGGCATTTGGGTATTATTAGGCACTCTAAGCGTATAATAGGCATTAGGCATTTTTCCTTTTCAGTTACTGAAAAAATTGCCTGATGCCCAAATGCCAGCAATGTTCTGTCTTTGTTAGGTTGTTGTTTCTTTGCCAGCAACGCGGTGGTCGGTGGCGTGAGAGCGCCTCAAGGAATCGGCGCCCTATGTACCGAGATGAATGCAGATTCGAGAGCTGCTTGAAATGTGGAAGAATTGGCATTCAGACGTGCTCAGACCCCGAGGTTTGGGTTGTTTGGGGTTCTTCTTCATTCTGTCTTTGGACTCCGCTTGCTGGCGGCATCTTGGGCCGATCAGCTCTGACCGTGCGCCAACTCTGTGGATTCTAACAGAAACATGTGCTTGTGACCATTGCCAGATATCGCTAGTTTGATGCAGGGGTTTTTACTTTGTCATGTGGCAGATGCAGTTGCAACGAGGGTGTGGGGGTGCTCACAGGCCGTCAAGAGAGACATGCGGCTGAGCGTGTTACGATCTGCAAGGGTGGCAACGCTTGAGCTGCGGCGTTGTTGGCCGTTCCTAAAGGAGGTTGTTAGCTTTTCCCAAGGAACAACTTGCATGGGGGGTGGGCGGCACAGTGCAATGGCAATCACTGGTGTCCGTTGGTTGGCGCCGTGCGACTGGCCGTGACAAGAAAGCTGCGGTGCAGATGGAAGTCGTTTCCCTTAACTAGAGGGTTATGACCCCGTCTTCGGCCACCCAAAAACCCACAAAACGTCCACCACTTCAAAATAACATCCGCCACTCCCCGGGCGTGCCTGCAATGCAAGAGGCCCAACAGCGACACCACGGAGAAACATGAACGAATTTGCGCACCCGTATTTAAGAGATGCTTGCGGTCTTTGCGGCCACTGTCATCCTGCAGACAGTTTTGCACACTTTGTCTGCTCTACCTTTCGAAAGCCCGCCTTTGAATCACCAAGCGTCAGCTCTCCCTGGATGTTGTGCACACGGAGCATTTCTGCCAAAGCAAATGTTGCCCTACTCCCACAAACTGCGTACCGTTCCCCTACAATCTCATGTCAGCTGAGCGTCGTCCCGGTTAGACACGCCAAGGCTCACCCGTCGTTCGACCGTTTGCCATTTCTTGCCCATTTGGGGAGCCTTGACAGCCAGCATGCTTCTGTCATGCTCTTTCGTCTGATGTGCAAGACTGGGCTCGTCAGCACCCACTTGCCGGGCTTCACAGGGGCCAGCGCGGCGCCAAGTTTTCCCTCATTTCTTCGCGTGCCCTGCGCGTCCTCACTGCTAGTAGCATAAAATCGAAACAATTTCCACAAACTGAGAACCCCAACCGCAATCAACCAAACCGCTCTGCCAAGCGCTCCACAGATCCCCGCTGCGGCCACTTGCTGGGCTGGCGCTGGTCGCTGTGAACACCCGGACCGCGCAATCGCGCAAGCTGCACCCAGCCCAGGGCCTCAGAAACTTCTGAAATAATTGGTAATTTTATCACCAATCCAAATTTAATAATTTGATTACCAATCTGGAGAAACCGGTGACTTGATGGCCAGCAGCAGCAAATCTTCCGTTCTAGGTGGGTGCTGACCACTCCCCGGATGCGGCAGCCTCCAGTCGCGTTAGCCTCTTCTCCAGCGTTTCCATTTCACCCGCGAGGCCCGCGCGCTCGATTTGCGCCGCCACGATGTGACTCTTCAGGTCCTGGACGTCCGACTCCAGATCCCTGGACGACTGTGCAGGTTCCAGATGTCCAAAATTCAGAAACACATCAACAAAATACTTCAAAAATCATATGCTGTAAAACAAGCAATAAAATAAGTAAGTTGTAACTGTAACTGAAACCAGCTACGCTGGCTTCTAGATATAAATATCTACAAAATAAACACATATATTAAACACATATTTACAAATTTGTAAATACCTTTTGTGCGATAAATTCAACGGTCGAAAAGTTATTATCATGTGTTGAAGCAAATGGCCTGTAGGCGTGGCCGCCGTTGCCTGCAAGATGGCTGCGATCCCTTGAGGTGCCTTGGGCAAGACAAGTCCATCCCCTAAATGGTTGAGAACAGCTCTTGAGCGATTTTCGGTGGTATTTGAACCTAATTTATGCCATCTCATCAGAGGCGCCAACAAGTGTCCAAAATGGCATAGCAGCTGGCATCGCCACGATGGCATATATGTGGGACCTACATCGGCTCCTACTGGACAAGGATCCCATTGTGCTTTACGAAATACGGGGGAGCACCTTGCTTAGATCAGCGTACAATGCATTGTAATTCAACATATATGATAGCTGCTTCTGGCGACTGGCACTGATAGAAAACGTCGTGTTTGCGATGCCAGATGCGATGTCATTTTGACACAAAATGGTGCCGTCGCAGTGATTGCGACGGCATAAAAGGGTCTGTGATGGCATCAATTTGTCTCAAAATGGCGTCCCAGTTGGCATCGCAAACAGACCATTTTCTGCTGGTGTGGCCGAGCCCAGTGTTATCAAATGCTTCTAGACGAGTGTCCATGATGGTATGGTGCATCGCCTTGCCTGCTTCCATAATGCCACTGGCACGTCGCTATTCATGTACCTGATGCCCTGCATTTCGACACTGCAGCGTGTGGCCCAAGCAAGCATGACCGTTTCCTGGTGTTGTGGTGCACACGGATGTGAAAAATAGTCAAGGTACTTTCCACCACAAATGGCCTTATTTTGTCGACTATTTTTTGGATAGTCTGTCGATTATGAATGACCTGTGAATCTGTCCATCGCGGCAACAAGCGGCAGCTGCACAGTTTCGTGTCTAGGACAAGAAATTGTTCTGCAGACTTCAAAGCAACCCGGATGCTCAATGGCTTATTTACCTACTGCAGAGCCACGCATTGCCGACAACAGCAGCCATGAAGGGGCAAAAGCTCCCCCAAAAAACGACGAGCTTGTCCGGCTGTTTTGCAGAAGTCCATGCCTCTTGGAAGAGGAGATTCCTTCGCCATCCCATCGGGCAAATATCGATCAAGTAGCGAAGGCAACAATATCAATCAAACAATCAATATTAACCAGCAAGATCATCACGCGGAACGAAAAAAAGCGGAAACGCGGGCTTGGCAGCCCCTGGCGCTTTTTCCCGCTCATCGCGCAGCCAGCGCACCGACCTGCATGTCGCAGTCGACTTCCTCAGCCGCGCCGCTGTAGCTCCCGTGCGAGAGTAGCGCCCCAACTTGCGCCCTCAGGAGCGACGACACGCCTGTCTGCTTCTTCTGCTTCTTGCCTCCGTTTATCTGGGGCAGCGTCTTCCCCGACCTTGCAGCGGGCGACCTCAAGGGCCTCCCGATGTGAGTGGAGTGGCCGGAGATGGGGGTCTCCGCTTCTTCGGACAGTTGAGAGGCGTGCTTGGACAGCTGGCCCTCCATTTCCTCCATCGCGGCTTGCGAGGCTTCGTAGTCCTCCACCGTGGGTTTCCGCTCCTGGCCCTCCGTGGTGCTGCGGGCCAGGGAGGAAGACTGTGCCATGAGCCCCTCGGATGAGCGGGTGGCGCCCCCGGGCTTGCCGGCGAGAATCTTGAAATCGCGGCTGGCTACCGACGACCGCCGCCTTGAGGGCTCCTTGTTTTTCACCTGGGGGAGCCGATGGAAGACAAGGTTGCGGAGTTATTCGCCGTTCTCTTGCTTGAAATGCACCTCAGGCTGTTCTGCTATTGCAAATGCTTCTGCAGAGTGCGGCAACTCGCAGTGGCGCTGATAGACAGAGGATTAAATGATCTGCCCAAGTTTTGGGCACTAGTCGGTTTCTGAACTCAGCCTTGCAAATTGGATCACGATCGAATTTGCACCTGATGTCGATCAATATCAATGCGGCAGTTTCGCACAGGCACTAGTAAAAAACAGGCCAGATGACACAGTCCAGACACGGTCTGCTCAAAATCCAACTGTGTACTTTCGGCAAATGCGTTCCCAAAAGTACACAGATAATACACACACTGACACAGTTCAACCCGTGCATCCTAGGAAACCGCGTAGTCTACACAGTTTTTTGAAGGTACACGGTTGAAACTGTGGCAATGTGTGTACTAACTGTGTACTTTCGGGACCACATTTGCTGAAAGTACACGGTTGAATTTTGAGGAGACCGTGTGAGGACTGTGTCATCTGGCATGTTCTTTTACTAGTGAGGGGCAATCCCGCACATTGCGCAATGCGCGCCGCCATTAAGTCCTGTCCTTATGGGGCCAAGAAATTGCACCAGTGGAAAGCACCGTGCTTTCTATGCTATTTGACACTAATTGGCGCCACCGCATCCACATCGCGCCATCACAATCACCGTGATGGTGCCACTTAGTGTCAAAATACCATGGCAGTTGGCATCGCAAGCGACCTGACGTTTTGTGCTAGTGGCTTCCATGCGTTTTCGTTCACGCAGCAGAGCGCACTACACACTCTTTGAAGTCCAAAAAACTTTCATGTACGGCGTTTCAGATGCCCACGACGACCGCACCGATCATGCGAATATGCCCTCCACTGTTTCAGAACTTCCCCGGGGACGATTCCAAGAGCCTAAGCTTGGGCTGTTAGCTGTTGTACATTAATACATTGGAGATTTCAGCAGCCTAATTTTAAACCGTTGGCCATTCTGCTCTCTTACGAGAGTATCTCGAGCACATGCGATGCGATGAATTACGTAAACTGTAGGCGCAAAACATTGCGAACCCCAACGTGGAGCACATTACAGTATTTGTTGCCCCATCAAATGGGCAATACGTACCGCGCGATGGCTATCGAATACCATATCGTATCGAATATCGCGGCCTGTACACCGCTGGCTTCTTCTGGCTGAGCGCGATTTACGTGTGTCCAGATCTCATTTTTATTAAAATAGTACTTTCCGTTTACAACACATGAAATAAAATACAATTCCCCGTTTGCGAATAATTGCAAACGGAATTTCTCCTTAAAATTCAATGATGCAAAAGTGTCACCTCTTCCGCGGGCTGCTCTTCTTCTATTTTCTGCACCCCGCTGCTGCTCTCAAGGATGGACAGGCTGCGCGACTGGAACAGCAAGGACTTGGTGTTGTGCGCGAACGTCATGCGGAACTTGGGAAAGACGCTGATGACCTGCGCAGTGCACGGAAGCTGGTTGCTCAAGGGCGGCGTGGACAGCGCGTTGGCATTTTAGCAATGCGATCGCAGATTTCGAGTCCGTTGGTGATTGGACTTGAGTGCAACGTCAAAGCAACACTCCTGGCTGTGTCTCCGGGTCACTGATAACGATAATACTGTGGCTTCGAACAAAGCGCGTTCACGGGATCATTGCCCGACATCGCCAGTTTATGTTGCAAAGGTTTTGCTTTGTCTTTGGCAAATGTAATTACAACGGATTCACGCACACCGATAACGATCAACAAATCCAGGACAACGCGGACATCATTGAAATATCCTGCTCCGTTTTCAGCAAAATTCACAGCGATTCGCCGAGCGATAGTAATACAGACAACAAAATCTTCCAATTCCATTTTCAACACTGATGAGAACTGAAAATCTCGATATCGATACCCTCGTCAAAAGGGGGGGGCCAAGGTATTTACGCGGTCTCGAAACTCGTGTACCGTGCTGTGCCTTAAAAAATCTTGCACCAATCGTGTACTGATCACAAAATGCACGGCTGCCTCTGGTACACTGATGGAATTGTGCAAAACCGTGTTCTTTATCGCGTTGTCCATGGTGGTAAGGTGATCCACTTTCTTGTACTACACCGCGCCGAAAACTATACGATTTCAGCAATCGCGGAAGATCTTGCTTCAAAGCTCCCAATTCTTACCCGAGTTTACACGAATTTGACAGGATTTCATACGAATGTTCACAGTGCAAAATGGTAGAATTTTTACCAGATGACAAAAATCCCTAACTGCAAATACAAAGCCTTCTGGATACAACTTTAACGAACACGAAAGCCGCAAATCTCGAGAAAGAACAAATCTTCTAACTGCGCAGATCAGGCTTGGTTTTTACGCCGTAAAAACTGATCGTATTTACGTTTTTACACGTAAAAATAGTTTTTACGTTTTTACGCGTAAAAATGCGTAAAAATACGTAAATACAACGTAAAAACTGCCTGGTGCACATAAGAACAGTACATACAGATTTGCAGAGTCCAGCGAGTGGCAGCCAGACGCCTTGGAAGATGCAAAATATGAGTTTTTGTTAAACGCCATTATCGCCCTTGCCAAGGGCGAGGTGGACATTGTGTTGCGGGTGCTGGCGATGGCGGAGGACTGATCATTGTACGCAACTTTTGTTGTGTAATCTACGTGTGCCAGGTAGCCGTAAAAACGTAAAAGTAGCCGTAAAAATAGGCCCTTTTGCAAATTTACGTTTTTACGCGTAAAAACGTAAAAGTAAAAACGTAAACGTAAACGTAAAAACCAAGCCTGGCGCAGATAAAATCTTCTAATTGCGATTTTCAACACAGACAGAAACTGCAAAATCTCGGGGCAAAAACACCATTATAATAACATAGAAGAAGTCTTCTGACACGTACAGGAACACGTGATGGCATATGTTGGAATAAAAAACAAACAACAAAAGAAAAAAACCAAGACAAAACTGCAATGCGCGTACCACTTTCCAGCGAGCCCTACCTGCACCAGCTCCGCGTACGCCAGCGCCAGTATCTCGCAGGGCTCGTGCGCGATCACGTCCTCCCTGTACGCCTGCCGCCTCAGCATGGGCACCTCCCCGAAGCACGACCCGGCGGGCAGCATCCTCCTCTGCCCGCTGCCCTTCTCAGAGCTCACCCTCAGCCGAAGCATGCTGTCGCGCGAGCGCCTGCGAATCTCCACGCTGCCCTTGCGGATGAAGAACATCTCCGTGGCGGGGTCGCCCGCGCGGACCACCACGTCCGCGGCGTAGCACTCCAGCAGGCGCAGCTCGGAGACCACCGCCTTGATGACGGGCTCCGGGGCGCCTGCGGGGGCAAGGGACAGGACTGTGAGAAGTGTGGGAAGTGGGATAAGTGCAAGAAGTGTAAGAAGCGCAAGAAGCGTAATAAGTGCAGGAAATGCGAGAAATTGACACAAGTATCCTTTTGTGCATCTCACTTGGCAGGTCGTACGTGGCCGCGAACTCGGCCAGCAGGTCCAGTTTCTGGCGGTATCTGGCGAAGGAGGCGTCAAAGCTGGATATAAGCACGGCTACGTTGCCAATAATCACGGCACTGACCACGTTGCCCATGATCTCAACACTGATGGTGTACCATCTCTCCAGAGATGAAATAGGCGTGACGTCTGCCCGGATCAGCCAACCAGATTGAGTGAGAGGCTGTGCATTGCACGAAATGCCGTCAAAGCCAGGACACACTGACAGGCGGACAGACAGGAACGCGCGCATACAATTTAAGTAGAGTCAAATTTGCCCATACATCGCTCCTGCAAGATCCAGCCAGGAAATCATGATAACGAAGTGCATCGAATGGTAAACGCGCCCACCACTCCATAATGCATCGACTAAAAGGGGTGCCGTCGGCCCCGAAGTGACTTGTACCGTCTAGATGCTTTTCACGTCAAATGAAGGCATTTCGCCTGTCACACGATATCGTGTGACATCCATCGATGCCGCATCCATCCATGCCAATCGATTGGAATCTTCACTGCTGCAATGAAGCACTCACTGTGGGGAAAAGCTTAGAGATACTATAGATTTCAGAGGAGATGTCATGCATCTCGGACATGTACCACAGGCCGCGGCAGGATTCGTTTTCGCGATTACGGTTACGTTTTTGCTTTCACGTTTTTAAGCGCAAAAACGTGAATTTTCCAAAGAACCTATTTTTAGGGCTATTTTTACGTTCTTGCGGCTCTCTGGGACGCCCAGGTTACACAATGAAAGTTCGTACAATGATCAGTATCCCGCCATATCTAGCACCCGCAACACAGTGTCCATCTCGCCCTTGGCAAGGACGATGATGGTGTTTAACAAAAAAACTCGTTTTCTGCCCCTTCCAGGGCGTCTGGCTGCCGCTCTCCGGACCCCGTAAGTCTGTATGTACTGTTCTTTTGTACGCGGGCAGTTTTTGCGTTGTGTTTACGCATTTTTGCGCATTTTTACGCGTAAAAAATAAAAACTGTTTTTACGTGTAAAAATGTAATATGATCAGTTTTTACGGCGTAAAAGCCAAGCCTGGGCCGCGGCATACGCCAAGGGCAGAAGCTTATCAACACTAGGAAAAAAAGGGCCAAATAACACTTTTGGGAACACACATAAAACACATTTTATCATAGTTTTACAAGCCAAGAACACAAAAATAACACAAACCCGTAAACTTCGTACACGTTTGAACACGTGTTATTTGGCCCTTTTTCTCCTAGTGCAATTTGCGCCATCATCCCGGCCAACAATGCCGCCGCAGCAACATCCACCACAATTCCCAATGCATCCATACATGATTTAAAATCAGCGAAGTATAAATACCTAAGATATTGCAGTCTAGGAGTTCCATTCCAGAATTTCTGGGCCCCAGGAGGCGAAGGAGCCGTGCGGCCACTGATGCTCCGTGCAGTAAACTGTCAGCTGGCGCCTGTTGCAAGTTTTGGATGCAACAGACGTGCGCGGGCAGGGCATATCTGATCATCGCACCACGTGGTATATGATCTAAATGGTCCGCATGATCTATATGATATATGTATGATCATCGTATTATATGAGCGATATGCAAACCGTATCATGCGGTCTGTATGCGACAACCAACAAAACAGTGACCGCGACCTTGGCGGCCTCGCGGGTGTTTTTTTAATTTTTCTCTTTTAGGTTCTATATCTGATTTAGTGTTTTAGGTTTTAGATTATAGGCATTGCTCGATTCCCTTACCTCCGTATCCAATCGTAGTGAGCGTAGTCAGCGCCCAGTAATACGATACCTGAACGGCAACCAAGCCGCAATGCGTCAACATCAATCGCCTTGCAATTAAAAGAAGGCGCAAAAGCTTATGAAAAGTGGCAAAATACCCATAAACAGCAAGAAAAGAGTGACGCAACAACGCTGCGCCAGTTGCGGATGCCTCCGCGGCTTTGTGTGGAAGATGGTGCTGCAAATCAGCGCATAGAAGCTTAAATTGCCCAGCTCTTTCTTATTTTGTGCTTCTCAAGTACTTGAAGCAATACTATTTCAAGAAGCATTTGAAGTACTTGAATTCTATTGTGCCTAGCGTGACCCTTGCACAGGATCACGGGAAAACCCAACAAAATCGCCACGAAACACGCCATTTTGGATCCCCTAAGTGCCTCGCTGTTGATCCACCGATTCAGTAATGCAGACAATGTGAACCCGGGGGCCCATGGCTCCGTTCGCTCCTTAGAGTTCAGAGGTTTGTCCTATGCCCATCATACCGGACATGATGGTCACGAAAGGATCTTGAAGGTTACTAAGGGCACCAAGGTCCGAGGATCCAAAACAGAAAATCCAAGTCACCTTCATGGCCCTCTTGTCTGAAACGCATGGACTCGTACATTCTTGCTTGTCCCGCGTGCCCGGAAGTTTAAAACTTTCCTAAATTTTTGAGTTAACATTGCTCCCACCTCGGCCACCTCCAATGAGCCAAGGCCACTTCTTGACGAGCCCCGGCAAACCACTAGGAAAAAAGGGCCAAATAACACATGTTCGAAGGTGTGCAAATTTTACGGGTTTGTGTTTTCTGTGTGTTAATAGCGTGCAGAACTTTGATAAAATGTGTTTTATGTGTGTTCGAAAAAGTGTTATTTGGACCTTTTTTTCCTAGTGAACTGAATGCACGGACTGAGCGCGCCGGTTCGGAATAGCTGCCTTTTGGGAAAATCTGATACAATACAGTTGAATAGAACAGTAATTTAGCACTCGGCACTTAGATTTAAAGTTTGTACCACTATTTTTACCAAAGCCATGGAATTGCAGCGGCGCCGAAGCTGCACCTGGTACCAGGCAGCAAGGTTGTCAGAGAACAGGGCGATGCCGTTGCCGTGCTTGATGGTCGACGTCCAGGACCTGTACTCCTCGTCGACGTCGTCGTTGCTGCCCTCCTCGTGGACTCCAATGTAGTACCAGCCGCAGGCGACCCAATGGCAGACCAGCATGAAGGCAAACATGAGCTTCACCACGCGAAGGGCGTTGGCCGCCTGCAGCTGGTCCAGTTTTCTCATGAGCCTGCCCAGCCGCAGCAGCCGGATGCACTGGGAGCACAGGGAGGGGATGATGTGTCAGCGCTTCAGCACTCTGAGCTTGCAAATCTGCAGGCCTCGAGACATCCCTGAGGCCCTTGGCAGCGAGTTTGTGTAGCATTGAAATCCTTGATGAAAAGTTTTGGATTTGTGGAAAAGCCTAGAGCGGCGCGTTTGGCGGGGTACAGATGCGGCAGAGGGCTCTGAGCGGCTCCACATGCTGACGCAACAACAATGACAGGCACCCAAACATTACATGGGATGAGATTACAAAGCACCAGAAAAGGGCGGCGCCCTCTGTGGTCTGTGAAACTATATCATGGTGATGATAATAACTATGCAGAGCTGGTGATGTCAAACAGGCTTGATTTTTACGCCGTAAAAACTGATCGATTTGCGTTTTTACGCGTAAAAATAGTTTTTACGTTTTTACCCGTAAAAATGCGTAAAAATACATAAATGCAACGTAAAAACTGCCTGATGTACATAAGGATAGTACACACAGATTTACAGAGTCCGGAGAGGGGCAACCAGACGCCTTGGAAGGGGCAGAATATGAGTTTTTGTTAAACGCCATTATCGCCGTTGCCAAGGGCGAGGTGGACATTATGTTGCGCGTGCTGGAGATGGCGGAGGACTGGTCATTGTACGCAACTTTTGTCCTGTAATCTACATGTGCCAGAGCCGTGAAAACGTAAAAGTAGCCGTAAAATAGGCCCTTTTGCAAATTTGCGTTTTTACGCGTAAAAACGTAAAAGTAAAAACGTAAACGTAAACGTAAAAACCAAGCCTGATGTCAAATCTGCAGAGCTGCAAATTCTAGCTCTAAATTAAAGCCTGATAAGATCATCGATTTTTCCGTCGTGTGCTCTCAGCAAAGCGGCGGTGAGGTGGCCAGACAGAAGGAGAAAACGCCTCGACAAATGGGGCACTGCTATTGCGGATATCCAGATGAAATGAACAAAGGGTGGATTCCACCCAGATTTTCCGAAAATCTGCTGAGCCCTAAGTTCGATTCCGAGACAATGTGCCCAAGCTGGACTAGAAAGTGTTGTCGCAAGTTGCTAAAAGACCACTTGCGCTGTTCAAAAATGACAAATTGTGGTTGGCATTACCGACGCCGCGCTAGTCCTACTGTGACCCCAACGTCCCCGAGGACACCCATTCCCAGGTTGCAGATTCACTAGTAGAAAAGTGGCCAAAAGACATGGTTGCGAGAATCATGTACCGTGCAGTACGATTGAAAATCATATAAGAACTTGCAACAAACCGCGCACTTATTGTGCACTTATCGTACGAAAATGGGGCCAAGCCGTGTAATGGCGATCGAGTGAGTGAACGTTACTTTTGGACGTTTTGGCACGGTTCTGTACGATTTCAGCACGGTTTGAAACCGCGTATTCTAGCCGAATTTTACTTGTGAACAGCACCTTAGAAAATTTTCTTTGTGCATTCCTCCGTCGGATTTCCTCGTTTGGCGGCCCTAACAATCTCAGGCTGCCATATTGAGTGTCAGCATCCCCGCACGCACCTTTGCCATTGAGACCGCGCTGACGTTGGATGATCCCATGAACCAGTCAATGGGAATCGAGGAAATCAAGTCAACGGGGAAGAACCCGTAGAAGTAGTTGACAGCGATTTCTCTTCTTCCAGAAACTTTCACGGCTCCTGCCTTTACGAATTCTGCGTGCAGAAATTCCAGCCGTAATCTCTTCACGGACAGGCCCTCTTGCATAAATGGGTTCCGATCGCGCGGTTGACAAAAATGAATGGCCAAGAGCAGAAGATGCAAGCAAAAGAATGCTCTTCGCTGGAATGTTATGAGCTCCATCGCTTGCCTTCGCCAAAACGGCTTGCCTCGCAACAATGGCCGGCTGCGGAATAAGACGCTTCAAAACAGCTCCGGATCTGAAAATCGCACCATGGGAAGAAAAATGACAAGTCCAATAGCTTGCCTACATCACCACAGGTCTGCCGATCTCAGGTCACCCGCGTTGCAGTCCAGGTCACTCAGCTCACTAAGCCTTGGACACCTGACCGAAATGATCTGCCTAGAATGTGTCACGCGCCAAAGTCGATCCAAGCAGCTCAAATCGGCAGCTCCTTGCGCGGCCATGAATGCAATAAGCGGATTCATTAAGGCAATATTCCTGTAGTAAAAATATTCCTGGCGTAAGAATAATGTGATTAAAAATATTTATGGGCGACAATAATTGATAATAACTGACAAGAATAATACTGGCGAGGGCACCTGTGTTGAAGTTGAACAGGATGTCCATGATGAAAACGCAGTCCGAGAAGTATCCCAGCGTCTTCATCGCAATGAGCGACTTGCCCCCGTCCCAGTCTGGGGGTTTCGTGTGTATGAAGCACGCCTCAAAGGGCGTGTAGATCGCAATGTACAGGACCAGGAACACCACCAGCCAGTCCCAGTTGCTCTTGAAGAAGCCGTCGGGGTCGAAGACGGGCACCCTGGCCCAGAACTTTCCGCACCTGCGGCATTAGGTGTGGGCACTCACACACGACATATGTGACGTTGTGTGACATATGTGATATTATCGCACTTTTTGCACCGCGATTTGTGTGTTGTGTGTGAGGTTTCCACACATTTTGTGGCAACGGCGTTTTCTGCACGCTTCTGTTGGCCTCCGGGATCATGGCGTCCTCCGTGCTGTGGAACATTGTGAGGATTACTTTGCGGTATTGAACAATCCCCATTTGTCTGGTCAAATACGCTACACATATCGTTATATAAATACAGCCATATCCTATATAACATCTCATGTATCTTGTTATGTGTATTCAATATTTTTCTGCAATTTTACATGGTTTCAAACACGAGACATGTAGATTCCGGTTGGATTGGGATAAAAGAGTTCCGCGATGCAGCGACGACTGGAGGGCGGGCTGGAGACCCCTAAAAAATATGTGAGAGCGGCGCCGAAGAAGTTTCAATCGGCCAGGTCCACAACGGCCGCTCAGCTTGGCCTATCTGCAGCACACGCAATTTCAGACTGACAGGTAACCAAGCAGACAATTCCAAATTGGAATATGAGTTTCAACGAGCCTCTGATCGCGATACCCATGCTTGGCCTTTACGGCGTAAACACGGTGCCTGTGGTTACGTGTAAAAACGTTATTTAGGTTTTGCGCCCGAAAGCGCGTAAGAACACGCGATGCAGAACCTGTGTACATGAAGATAGTACATGCAGTTTCAGGCAGCCCTGGAGCGGTAGCCTGACGCGCTGGAGCTGGCAAAACGACCTTTAGTTCTGCGGCGTCTTTGCTGTTGCCTAGAGCGAGGTGGAAGCAGTGTTGTGGCCACTCGAGGGGCTGGAAGACTGATCATTTCTTGCGACTTCATCAGTAATCTAGGCGTCTCACATGCCCTAAAGTAAGTAAATATAACATTTCTGTGTTTACGCGTTTCTGCGCGTAAAAAAGCGAAATCCATCCCCTGAACGCAAAGACCAAATCTGTTGATACCCCATCAAGGAGCGCATTCCTGACATCCATTGGCCAGCCATTCTGTACCGTCGATTCTGACGACTGCTGCAGGCATTTTACGCTACGCGTGTTGAGCGGCACTCTCGTTGCGATCAAAGCTCTGTGCGCACCGCAGTCACCCAATACGGAACAATTCCATCGTACCCCCAAAGCATCAATCCTCAATGACTGATCCACGCACCATTCCACACTCACGCATTTGCCATCGCGCTTTTGCTGTCAGCGCAACACCTTCGGAAGCGACACAATCGTCGCCTGCGTTTCCAGATGGTTGCATTTGACAATATGTGCACATCCTTTCAAACAACTTTTCAGGAAAGTAGTACAAGACATACTGTAACTAAATAGTGAAAATAAGTGCAATTAGCACTAGCCTGTATGCCAGTTTTTACCAGAATAATGTCATTTTGGGGCTCTCACCTTGACAATTCTTCAGGGTTCTCGGATTCCGAGCTGCTGGAGCTTTCCGATTCGGATATTT